GAGGTCTATGTGTTTCTGCCTTCTATTCTTTCTTTTAAAGGGTTCTCCTTTGGCTGGGTTTGCAGGCCTGTGTGGGGTTTTCCTCTAATCCTGACAAGCCAGAGTAGTGAAATGGGTCCAGGGCTCCACACAACCCTGACTTGGCACTTAACTCTCTGCAGTTCAAGAGCCCTGCTTAGGTGCTGTGACCTCTGATGGGGAAGAGGAGGCTGGGAAGACCCCTGGGGTGGGGGGAAGGCAGGGAGCCCCTAGCTCTATCAGCTAATATGCTATCTATCACCAGGGAAGACATTTACAGATCTGGGATCCAGTTTTCTCACTTATCATCTGTGGATGATAATAGTACAGCAAAAATAATAACCTGCCATTACAGAGCAGTGGCTGGACAAACTAGGCCCATGGCCCAAAGCTGGCCCTCTGTCTGCTTTTGTAAGTAAGTCGTCGTTGTCTTCTTCGTCGTCATTTCTTCTTCCTCTTCTTCTTCTTCTTCCTCTTCTCCTTCTTCTTCTTCTCCTTCTTCCTCCTCCTCCTCCTCCTACTTCCTCTCCTCCTTCCTCTCCTTCTTCTTCTGCACACAGCCAATGCTCAATCATTATTTATGGTTTGGGGCTGCTTTTATGCCACAGTAGCAATCAAGTAGTTTTGACAGGGCCAGTACAACCCACAACAGTGTACTAACTGGCTTGATCAGTGCCCTGATTACGGCAGGTATTGAGGGTTACAGGGCCTTTTACTGAGTTCATGCGTTATCTCATTTAACCAATTCTAGGAGGTAGGTTCTTGAAATCCCATCTCACGGATCAGCAACTGAGGCATAGAGATTTCAAGGAATAACTGTTCTAATTGTACTTTCTTTCACAAGTATTATGGAAAATCTTCCAGGTGATGGCAGGATGAACAGGGTTTATAGGACCCATCCCACATCACCACATTATCTGGACATCCAGGCAAGGGACCACTGGTGAAGAACCAGTGATGTTAGTGAATTCTTGGAAAGTCACTTTAGGCTTTTCTGATCAGTGCATAGCAGCCAGTTCTTCAGAACAACAAAACAACAATGCCACATAGTTTGCAGCATGTGTTGATTTCCATGGTGTAAATATCTCTGCTGTGGCGATATCAAGCTACAACATGGATAGAGCCACTGTTAAGACACTGTGGTATATCATCACATGGATGCGCCCCATGTAGCTGAGGAGAGTAACACAATTAGGATGGGTTGAATATTTACTACTTTTTGTTTTCAAATACAATTGCTTGAGTTCTAAATTTATACAAGCTAATTTCTACTAATGTCTGTGTAACAACTGGCCTGTAAAGTTTCTGAGAATTGAATCTGTTCTTGTGATCCATAAGAGCCCTGTATTTACTATTCTCAGAGGTTCTTCTGGTCCTGTTTGCATAAGCAAAGAGTCAGGGGACAGTTTCTCCTAATGAGAGTGTCCTTTTCAACAACCCTGTGATGTGTGCTCTCACACCCATCCTGTGTAGGAAGTAACCCTTCTGTAAATTGAAGGATCACAGCCCTTTACCCAGGCTGTGCCATGCTCATCTGTTTGACCTGACTGGGGCAAGGAAAGTTTTTATAGCTCCCTGACAAGTTTCTGAAGTCCTGTTAGTTCCTGCCAACAATGTGGTATGGCTACTGAGGTGTGTTCTTCCCTGTCTGCTGAGTCTATGTGGTATCTATCTCTGCCCTCTGTTAGGAGATCCTGATCTAGACCTCAGTGCCCTGTTCAGGGCAGGCACCCTTGCTCCAGGGAAGAGCAGCACACATGGCAGACCACGTGTGGAGTGGAAGGAATCTCAAGCATGCTGCTGGAATCCTCTTGGCTCTGTCAGTTTAAATGGAGGAGGGGTCCCCTTCATAGTCTCTGTGTCTCCCATAATCTGCCAGCCTCTTCCCAGCTAAGGTTTTCAGAGGTCAGTCCTGGGAAGACTCTGGTGGGTTTGGCCTTGGTCTGGGGCCTGTTGTGAGTCCATTGGCATCCAGAAGGCTGAGACCTCCTTGCTCCTACCTCAGGCTGGAGCTGTGGCCTCCTGCTGGGTAGCAGTGGGTTGGACACTATCCAGTCCCCCAGTAACCAGCAAAATTCCTTACACGGCTAGCCCCAGGACAGAGTGTGGGCCACAGACCACGTGGCTGCCAGCCTCAGCGCAGGAGTAGAAGGCATGAGCTATGGAGGCAGGAATGTGACTGTGGGAAACCCAATGCCCTGGGCCTGGCCCCAGGGCTGGGCAAGAGTATGTGCACGTGTGTGAGGAGTGGGTGGGCAGGTGGAGACTTGAGCAGCAGCTTCCCCCTGTGGCATGGCTCCATGCAGATCAGTGGGAGCCCTGGCTCTGTGGTCTGCCACTAACTGAACATTGTTCCTGGGCTGTGGCTGCTGTCTCTGAGCAGTGCTGTAAAGCCATTCAGGAAGAGGAGGTTGCATGGGATTTTCCAAAGGCCCACCTGTGCCCTTTTACCCACAGAAGGTTCCTAGGTATAAGTGTGCTTCTCAAATTCTTCCTTGTGTGACATGTCAGACTGACTCTTAAGGCTTGGATGGGGCTGCCTGATACTCTATTTCCTGGCTCCCATCCTGGGGCCTTTAGTCCTCTCACTGTCCATGTGGCTCAGGGCATAGAGATGGTTTCTTTCATGTGGTAAGTCTTCACTGAAGACTGTTTAGTGCCAAGTGTTGTGCGGGGAGGGGGGGCACTGGTTATAAAGAACTGGGCATACCTTGCCAGAATACCTGGTTGGTGGATGCAGGAGAGAAGCTGGGGGAAGTTGGAGGGATTTTTTGAGGTAGGCAGGTAGCCAAGAAGTTGCCCCTGCCTTGGCAATGCATGAGCTCCCCACAACCCCACTTCTGGCCTTTTTTGGGTGGTTAATTGGTGGTAAGAGTCTAATGACTTTTCTGCCCAGGCTGGCTTTGAACCATGATCCTCAGATCTCAGCCTCCTGAGTAGCTAGGATTACAGGCGTGAGTCACCCACATCTGGCTGTTCTCTGTTTCTTTAACAACCACAGCAATGTTCTGAGAGATACTATGCAATTATCTCACATTTACAAAAAGATTGATTCAGGGAAGTTTAGTAATTTGACAAAAGTCACATGGTTAATGACAGGATCAGCATTAAAGCCCAAGTAATCTGGTTTTAGAGCCATATGAACATTGTGGCCAAAGGAAGTGTGTGTGTGTGTGTGTGTGTGTGTGTGTGTGTGTCTGTGTGTCTGTGTGTATTGTGTATGTTTGCTGTGTTCTCCCTATCAGAAAGGAGGATGCCCAGTGGGAGGAGCCCACGCCCAGGCAGGTGCAGCAGGGCCTGTCATATCACCTCTGCATATGTGTTGTGTGTTTACATTGCACAAGGAGAATGGAAGGACATGGAGGGAAACCCCTACTGGTACTTAAGGTGCCACTCTGTGGCCCTGGAGGGACCAGAATGGGCTTTAGTTTGGTATCTAGGGTAGCCAGTGATAGAGAGGGGCTGGAGTGTGAGGGCCTGCCGGCTAAGGCAGAGCATGTGTTGGGAGAGTGTTCTGCTTGCAGCAGAGGACTGGAGTTGGGAATAGCAAGACTTGGTGTTGGATGGGGAGACAGGACAGGTTCCCAGGATCTGAGCAGCAGAACTCTGACACTGCTGGAGGATTCAAACCTGGAGCCAATGGGTCAGAAAGTTGGTTCTGGCTTGGGGATGGGCAGGCTGGAAGTGGGTAGACAGGCATCCAGTGGGTTTCTAAGACAAGGAAAACAGTTAAGCATGATTTGGAAAGGAGGACACAGAAGTGGCAGTAGTGTCACATATTTGGAGGCATGGGACTGGAGTATGGACACTTTGTAGCTCAAAGGTCTGAGGGGATTCTCTGGAAATGGCTCCAGCCAGGACAAAGGTCAGGACAGTCCTAGGGACTGACCAATCTGGGTGGGTCTGGTGGGATGAAGAAGCCAGGGCATTCATAGAGGGTGTGTGTGCATCTGTGGGTTTAGGAGAGCCACTGGGCAAAGGAATTAAAGCAGAGATTCCTTGTTACTATACCCTGACGTCTCTGAGATGGATCACAGTAAGAAAAAATAGGGTTGGAGAAGTTCCAGGGAATATAGAGGGAGCAGGCAGTACCAGGTGTCTGGTAAGTAGTGTCATTCTCTCCAGTCTGGCTGCAGGTGTGGTTGGAGCTTCTGGCCCTGGGAGGGAGACAAGTGAGCCTGAGGGAATGCCCCAGAGAAGGGTGTGTGTGTGTGTGTGTGTGTGTGTGTGTGTGTGTGTGTCTCAGGGAGTGTCCTGGTCTTAGTGCCCTCTACTCCCAAGTGGCTTGTGACTAAATATTAGAATCTAGTACTGATGAATACAAGACAACAGTCTGGCCATCTGAATTTGTGCACAGTTATCTGACAGATTGGATTTTGAATCAGACTATAGCCCCACCCTACCTCCTGCTCTTGTCTCTGTCCATAGCTCTTGACTCTCCCAAGCCCTGGCCTGACAGATGGATGATTTGCTGTGTGGCATCTTCAGAGCTTGAGACCTGGTTCAGTGCCTGTATATCCCTGGCACTGGCACACTGTCTCTAAGTACACAGAAGTTGGGGGAGAGGTGGTGGGTGGCCCAGAGATGGGAGTCTGGGACTTCTAGACTTTGACTCCACTGGACATATCCTGAGTAGGCAGAACCTCATTTGATTCTCCCCGGGAGAGGCCCTTAGAGTGCTTTCTTCTATTTAACTCTGGCTGGAATAGCTCGGGGTCCATTCTGGATGCTTGGTTTTCTCTGAAGGGGCAGAGGAGTTTCCCATAATCTTTTGGGGCTTTGACATTGGTGTATAATAATGCTACAGGAGAGGATGTGCTCCCCAGAGTGAAATCCAAGGCTAATGGCCCTCCTTTCAGCACTGTTGTATGGAGGAATTTCATGACCTTAAGGACCTAACTCTCTGGGATATTCTCTGCCAACTCTCAGTCCTGGGGTGGGGTGGGGTGAGAATAGACCCATGACCAGCTTTGTGTCTCCAGGGTGGTGTGGTGGATGACAGGAGCGAAGATTCCATGTCTGTGTCTACCCTGAGCTTCGGTGTAAACAGACCCACAATCTCCTGCATCTTTGATTGTAAGTGATGCTCAGAGGTATAGATGGGTGGGTAACCTAATACCTCTGAGTTTATGGAATTATGTGGCCAGGTGTTTGTGCTAGAAGAATCAAGTCTGTGTATATTTTTGTGGTCAGTGTCATTTGGTGTGTATGCACATGTACATCTGTATGTGCATGTCTGTATGTGTGGTATGTTTGAGATTGGACATCGTGGGCCCTTGCATTGTACTGTCCTTGTCATAGGCCTGGCCTTTCCTCCTCCCCTTCCTCTTCCCTTCTTCCTCAGCTCTAACCTAGCTTAAGTACTCAGCACTCAAGTGTCTCACCTTTCCTCCTGACCTTGAGAGGCTCACTCCCACAGGGTTGTTTGTATCATTTGCTGCCCTCATTTAGGGTCAGTCCCCATCCCCTCTGTAACTCCAGCCCTTAGCCACCATTGGCTCTTCACCCTGGCATCTTTGTTTCTTCCTTTAAGATGGGAACCGCTACCATTTACGTTGCTACATGTACCAGGCCCGGGACCTGCCTGCGATGGACAAGGACTCATTCTCTGGTAGGTGGGAGAGCTGAGGATCATTCTCAGAGATTGATAGAAGAGATATTGGGCCCATAGGCCAACATCTAGGGAATGGGGCCTGACATATCTCCTTTTGGGTGGGGTGCAGTCATTGCTGGATGCTATTTCTGGGGTCCTGTGGCCTCTTCCATGATTCACTTGACTCCTTAGCAGGGTTTAGCTTGATTGGATACTTCCTGAAAGCTCCTCCTGTCTTTGCTCACAAGCCACCACTCTTTTCTGACTCTTTAGCATCCCTTTTTTTCCTTCTTCCCTACTTTATGGCACAAATAGCTATTTATCTGAGCAGTTCATCCCACCCAAACTCAGCTCCATGATCATCTCATTCCAGCTCCTCTGTGTCTTCTGTCTTAGCCCAGGGAAACTCCTCGGAATGTTTCAGATCTGTTCCCTCCTCTTTAGTGTCACACTGCCATCTCATGCTGCCCCTATAATTCAGGTCACTTGGTGTTGTCCTGCTTTCCCTGCCAAGTCATACCTGGGCATGTTGCTGTCCCACTTCAAGTGTAGCTACTTTGAAATTAATCTGCTGCTCTTCACCCTGGCAGAAGACAAGTCCTGAGAGGTGACTTCTGTGAACCTCACCCATTCCACCTTGAGTTTGCCCTTTTTTTCCATTTGTTCCAGTTTTGTATGATTTGCTAGCATCTTTTCCATGTCTGGCCTTTGCATCAAACACCCTCTTTGTCTAGAATGTATTTTCTTTTAGCCCAGTGACCCCCTAGTCATCCTTCATTCCCAGCCTGGGTGCCTCTGACTCTCCCCAAAACAAAGCTGGTTGCTGTATCCTCATCCCGTGGCCAGCATCTTTCTAGATCTCTCCAGATCACTTGCTGTCTATCTGCCACAACCTCCCCTCTTTGGTGGTGAATGCCTCTGGAAGGGACCTGGTCTTCCTTCTGAACCTGAAGTACCAGGTATCAAAAGAATGACATTTATAGAGTGTCACTGTGTACCTAACTAAGCAGCTGCTGAGAGTATTTCGTGTGACCCTTCCACTACCCAATGAGATAGATCTCCAATACCACTGTTTTACAGGTGAAAAAAGGAGGACCTGAAGAAGTTTGCTAAATTGCTTGAGTTAAAATAGCTGGCAAGTGATCGTGCTAGGAATTAGAGGCAAGCCTTTACCCTCCACAACCTGCTGTTTGGCTGAGTAGGACTGAGCTTCAGGAGCTTGGCTTCCTGGTCACAGAAAAACTCTGTAGTTGACTACCATATGCCTGTGTTCCTTCTCGCCCATTCTCTCTAAGAGGGGGCTACTGTGCCACCCACCCCTGCACCCTCAGCCGTGGCTGTTTTCCTTTGCTCTTAGTGACCTACCCCATAGCTCCATGCAGCCAGGCAGGCATGGGGAGAGTAACTTTTCTTCTGGACTTTAGGGTCTGGGGCCTGAGCATGCCCTCTGTGCAGCATTGCAAAGCCATGGAGTGTATTGCCATTAGCAGTCTGACAGCAGGTAAATGCTTGCAGTGATGACTTCTTGGAAAATATGTCTAGGGCTCTGACATTGGAATTGACCCTGAGAACAAAGAAATGGACTAACAGTCTCATTTCCACCTCATGAGAGGTGATGGGTACAGGCAGCAGGTTTGTGCAGGGCAGGTGACCAGATGGGGCCCAGGTGGAAGAGCCCTTGTCCTCTATGGATCTAGCTGGCTGGGGACTCCTGCAGGGAGTGTGTGTGTGGGGGGGGGAGCAGGGACTTCCCCAAGGGACCAATGTGGGGAGCCAGTGTTCAGACTGGGGACCCCAGGCTGCAGGGTCAGCTTGGCACTGGTCTACAAAGACGTCACACTTTCCATTCTGGCTCCCTCCCCCACCCCTCAGATAAACATCCCTTGAGCTTTGAGGGCACTGCCCAGGGCTTCCTCAGAGGCCACCAGCTTCTGAATGAAAGGCCCGATTGAGCAGCTGTTGGAAAGGAAAACAGCAGCCAACACGGGGGAACCTATAAAACCCAGAGTGTTTATTTTCACTCCCAAACCCTAAACCAAAGCAATTTCTCCCCTGGAACTGACCCCAGGGTGGCTGGCGGCTTGAGGCTGTGCATGGCCACCGGCTGGCATTTCTCTGAGAAAACTCATGTGTGAGTTCAGAATGTCTGGGGCCAGGGAAGGGTCTAGAGCCTTCTGCTGCTGGGAGCACCTAACATCTGTCTGCCTGGGTTTTAGGCAGAGGGACCATCCTTAGGATGCAATCTTGCTTCTAACTGATGTGCTCTATGCCTTTCCTGGAACTCTTCGCTTCCAGGAATTCTGCTTGTTTCTTTATGGTGGGCTTTGAGAACTGCTCAGAGGATGGGGCCATATCTGCTCCCTCTCCTTGGCTGAGGAACTGAGGGCACATCTAGAGATGCCTTACTGAGCAACACTGAATTTGGGAGAAAGAAGGTCTTGTGGGGCATTGCTGTACAGGTAGTCTGCGAATTGCAACTTGATGGGACTTCTGAAATTGACAAGCATGGGTCCACAGGAGAGGATCTGTGGCATGTGCTTATGTTTTGGAATGTGTGGCCTGCCTAGAAGTAGGCAGACAAAATGTAGGCTGCTGCTAATTCCAGTGGTTTCCCTTTGCTGTTGAGATGGTCTTGCCACCTCCCTGTGAGCATTTGTTAAGCATGCTGGCTTTACTGTTATTTGAGTGGAAGTAGAAATCACACATCAGTGTAGTTCCTAGCCCTGCCCTGCTGCTGCCCCAGGAAGTGACAGCCGTTCTCTTTGAGCACAGTCTGAGTTGGATTGTTCCTCATTGTAGAGTTAAGAATCTGAAGGGAAGTCAACAGATCGAAGCTATTTCGTTTGCCCAATGCTTCCCTGGAGCTCTGCTCTGCCCTTTCTTCAGTTGAAAACTGCTTCTGTGTTTGTTGGATGGAGCCATAGTTCTGCTGATGGAATAGCCACCTCAGATGGAGAATTACCAGGTAGCACCGTCATGATGTCACCACATTCACCCTAGGCTTGAAGGGCCTAAAGATGCTTCTTTGAAGGTCTCATAGATTGGTAGGTCCAGGCTAACAAAGCTAATGATAGTTAGCTAGCAGACCATACCACATTATTTATTAATCTACAGAGCAGATTTTTCAAGAAAGCTGGTCTCTGGATCCTGGAAGGATGCAGTAATATTCTAGGTGGGTTGTCCTGAATGTTGTTCCTAACAAGCCAGGATATTGTATGGTCTGATGAACCATGGCTGCTCCACAGCTGGAGCCACATTTGGTGACCAGTGCTTTAGTTTCCTCCCAGATCTGGACTCTGTCCTGAGCTCTTGTTTTGAGGCTTCTGTTATCTGGTCACTGGTCATTTTCTCCCTGTTCCAATCACAGTGTTTTGCTCAAGTAGGCACTGACTGGGGCAATACACCCGAGGAGATATTTTCCAGAATGTACTGGAGGCTTATGAAATGCTCCACTTAAAATACTCCCTAAACACTATGAAAAATGAACTAAACAACTTGTGGGATGGGGGGAGGGGAAGGGAAAATTGGGAGAAAGTAAGGGAAGGGGTGACACTATTCAAAAAGAAATGTACTCATTACCTGATGTATTTGACTGTAACCCCTCTGTACATCATCTTCAATATTTTTTTAAAGTGAGCTTGCTCATCTGCAGAAGCTAGATATAAAATATACCGGGACGTGATAAATTATGTAGGATTCTAAACATTCACGTACAATGAGACCAAAGAAGAAAACTCTTAAGAAAGGAACACAACCACTTTGGAAAGCAGTCTGGAGGGTCCTTAGAAAGCTAAAGATTGACCTCCCTTACGACCCAGTCATACCACTTCTAGGCATCTACCCTGAACAACAGGAACCAATATACAAGGACACGTGCACCTCCATGTTTATTGCAGCACTGTTCACAATA